CGAACAAATGCTGAAATTCTAAAGATGCACATTGAAGGAGAGAGAGACGGAGAGAGAGAGAGAGTATGAGTTTGTGTGTTTCTGTACATTCATAACTAAAGCAAAGTGCAAAATAAATATACATAGGTGAGAGTGTGTGTGTGTCTGTGTGTAAGGAGCGGAAGGAGTGCCGCATACACCCAGATACACATTCAACGCTAATTTCCGTCACGTTGAGCATACAAAGGAGCGGCAAGGCACGTAAGGCGGCGCACCGAAAAATATCTGGCAATGTGTGGCAAAAGTCGACAAGGGAAAACGTAGAGACCTGCCATATTCCATTTTTCAAGAGGCAACAACAGCAGTAGCACCATCATCGGTATCGACTGCTGCAACAATCATATGTGAGTATGTGTGTGTTTGTGTGTGTTTGGTGTGTGGGGCATGCTGCAGCATCATCAGACACCTGGCCGACACACGACTTCTTCTTCCACTTCCACGTCAGTGGTCGAAAAATGCTACACAGAACTGTGTTTTCATTTCTAAAATAAGCAACATACACATATTGATCGAGGAACTTTTCAATTAGTTACCAAAACAGGGAAAAACCCAAGAAAATTCATAGAAAGTTTTCCACAGCAGAGTTCAAACGGCTTTCCTCGTATAATTTGGCCAATATCTAAGCCATCCCAAATGGTTTATCTGTATGATATTTGAAGACCAGACCAGAGATGCGAGAGATATGTGCGGCAAATGCAAATTAAATTCGAAAATTTCCACTTTTCCAAGCCACTTTAATGGAGACAACTATTTTTGGAGTTTGTTTTCTAGAAATGAACGCCCAAAAAACTCCCTGCCGTGGATGGCAAAACTAAACATCAGGTAAATGAATTTCCACACCATAAAGAGAAACAGAGAAAGAGAAACACACCGTACAGAGACAGAGATTCCCCACTCTCATTTACCGAAACATCAACGACTTTCGCTGACGCTGACGGTGTGATGGGGCATGTAAAATCCATTCTGGGGCAGCTGAAACTCTTTGCTTAACTGGCGCGGCATGCAACAAGCAGTGTGGAGGAGATGGGAAACCCAGTGACTTTCAGCGCTGATTTTCAACTTAATTAATTAAAAGCAAATTAAAAGTTTTAATCTCTGCAACAAATTGTGTTGCCTGAAAGAAGGAAAAAGTGCCTACAACATTGTTTGGGTGGGCAACAAGGAGAAGGAGCAGGAGCTAGGCTACCCACTGATGAGCAGAAATAATAAACTGTAGCCGACAAGGGCTGCTATTGGCGATGCGAAAACAATCAAGTGGAGGCGCCACAGAAACAAAATGAGATAACTGAAGCTGAAGCTGAAGCTGGAGCTGGAGAAAACAAAAGAGTTTTCTCGGATGAAAGGATTGGCTCCATCTCTGGCCTTTTTGGGGGTGTGTTTGGGGATGTTTGGATGTTTGGTTTTTCATAAGCCCAATGTAAGCAGATTTCTATCTTAATTCAACGCACAAAATTAACAAATTTCCAAGCAAAGCCAAACAACGGCTGACACAACAACGAAAGTCAATTTGTTCAAACGATTTGTGGCATGAAAACTTTTCCTTCCATTCACCTTCTTTTGTGTGGTTTGCGGGGGGAGCGGGAGGTGCCAAAGAGCATGTGTCTTGTAATATGAAAGTTTATTTGTGCAACTTCTACGGCTTACAGTTATTTATTGCTGTTAAAAATACACTTAGAGCTTTAAGCTTTTGCCTTTTTTTGTGATCAATGGCCGGAAATCAAAGCCAAATGGAATGCACGTACATAGCTCTCTCCAGAAGCTTTCCAGCAGCAGCATTATGGATGCAGCATCTCCTAAACGTCAGTCTCTGAATTTATGATGCCTTCCGCCTGCTGCATTCATCACGTGGCAGCCGTCAACAGCTGCATCGTCCAAGGATCCATCGTCTTTGGATGGCTTGTCATAAAAGATGCTCATCATCGGTTTTTTCCTGTTTTTTTTTGTTTTGGGTGTCATAAAACGTTTTGTGTCGCAAGCCACGCCTGGAATAAAATAGTCTCAGAAGGAATCTTTGCTTGTGGAATACGATACTGTATCTTTTACTAATTGCGCGGCTCTTGGGGCTGGGGCGCCCATAAATCTGTAGGCTGTTTATCGGTGGGCGTGGCGCTGCAGCAGCAACGTCTTGTTTTGCAATTTGCCTAAAATGAAAACTCACTCACGCCAGCCAAGTAATCCTTGGGCGCCGCATTTAGTTGCAACATTTTATTGTTGAGTTTTTGGCAGTGTCCGTGGCTGCCGTCGCTTCGCATCGTTCTGTTGTCTGCCACTGCCCGTTGCACTCGTAAATGTCATGCCATGCATTTGCATTTCAATTTCCATTACAATTTGGAAATGGCAAAACGTGGAGCGGGGACGCCCCCGCCTCGTTGCTGTTTTTGGCCGCGATTAGCGTGCTATAAATCCAAAAATGTTGCCTGCATTTTAACATTATTTTGTCGGCCATCCCCAGCAGCAGCCACCCAGCAGTCCAGCAATCCAGCAGTCAGCCAATAGCCACTGTGTTTGTGTTGGCCCGTGACGTTTTTCTGTTCTGTTCTGTTGTTAAATGCATGCAAAGACCATAAACCAAATCGTTCGACGTAAGCCACGCCCCCCATTCGGAATGGGGTAGGAGGGGTTTGGCGGAGGCTGTTTGAAACATTGTCCTGCGACTCCGGAACGGAACGTACGTACGCTTCAAAATATGCAACTCATTTTGCTGGTGATGTATTTTTTTGTTGTTTTTGGTTTTTGGCAAGGGTTTTTAGGCACGGGGCTGGTATCCTGTATCCCATTTGCATTATTTGTAGCCCCCGATACGCATTTAATTAAAAGGGACGAACATTTGCATTAGTATTGGACTTGGATTAGCATTAGTTATACGCCGTAGCCAAGCCTCCCATCCCCTCCCCATAGACCCATTCTATTTCGCACAATCCAAAAAAAACAATACCAGCAACTCCGTCGCTATATTATGGAATTATTCCTGGCTTTATTCTGGGTTTCATTTGTATCTCTATCCGGACTTGATTCTTTGCTTTAATCGTGTTTCAATTGTCATACATTTTTGGTTCATTCTGAGCTTCACTCTGGCTTTATTGTTGCTTGATCATGTGGGTCTTCGTTGTTGTCATCATTCTTGTTTCATTCCTGGATTCATTCTTTTAATAGCCTTCATTTTTTCTTCGTGGTTCGCTGTGCCCTACTACAGCATTCATTGCTGCCTTCATTCTGTCTTTCTTCACGCCTTTATTTCTTACTTCATTCCTTGGCTGTGAAGTAAGGAGAAGACGGTGAGAAGCTAGTTTTACGCGTAATTATAGCTGATTTACTCAGCAAAAGGGATATAACCCGCACGTTTACTTAGTAGCTGTGTGTGTCAGCAAAATATCCAAGTGGATTGAAGAGCTGCTCCTCCCACTCCTACTCCTATACTCCCACGCTGTTCTGGTGGCACGTGTGTGCGGGGCACAACTCGTTTTGCCTACTCATTTTGCGTTACGCATACGCCATGTATGTGCTTCGTGCTGGGAGAGCTGTGTGGCGCTGCGTGGCAATATGGTTACGTGTAAAACTTTAAACAGCACGATGACTGCACAATTATGGCGCCGTGAGAGGGAGATAGAGTGAGAGAGAGACGGGGGAATGGGGCGTGCGGCATGGGAAATGGGGGAACGAACTGAAATTGTGGTTGGGTCTTGGCTGCAGCCAATGGCTTGTAAATAATACGAGCAGGTAAGCTCCGTGGCAGGTCGCACGGCATAGCGTTCAAGGTTCCAACCGTTGTTGCAGCAGAGTTTGTGGTACGATGGTGCCTCTGGTGGCTCTGGCTTTGCCATTTTGTGGCCGCTGTATCGTGGCAGGGCTTGTGGCGGAGCCACCAAGCGCTCTGCTGCTGCTCTGCCTCTGCGCTGCCGCTGTTTCTGCCACTGCTGCTGCTGCTGTTAGTGCAACTAATTAAGACAAACTAACGTACTAGCGGAGGGGAGTATCCTTGTTCCCTGGGGTCGTGCACACGGGACCCCACACACATGTCCTTGAGAGGTAACGGTGCTCAAGGGCGAGCCGATCCCCCCACCATCTCTTCTGCAAAGAGATGCGTACGTGTTTTGATATATGCTTTTATTACAATCACAATGTGTTTACACGGAGCGCAACAGCGAGCCCCATGCCACCCCCGCTGTTTGGGTGTTTGTGTGTGGCAACAGGGCGCCAAGTGCACTTAATTTGTTTGCTTAATTTACAAAACATGAGACGCTAGCGAGGCTCAGTCCTTCGTTCGGTGTTTAGTCCATGCTTCCATGCCCCCATTCTTCATGCTCTGCTCAGTCCCTTGTGTTGTATGTTCAGCACTCACACTCTCTCTCGCCGGCTGTGGCAGCATCGCTATCGGTATCAGGCTCAGCCTCCTCTCCTCTCCGTATCCGTCTCCGCCTCCTGCTGGTGTTGCATGTAAGTGCAGCTGTTGACTGGCGACATGAGAACATGGACCAGCCAGCGCTTTGACAATGGCACCATTGTAACCTCTGTGTGTGTGTGTGCGCGGCTTGATAACGAGTTCACTGTCTTAATTATCCGTACCTTAAGGATGCCCGAAAAGATTAAAATGAAAAGTCGTGCAATAAAAAAGGGGAAAGCTATTTATTTCGTTGTATACCCCTTTGGAAACTGGTACTGCATTTTAATTATCTTTTAAAGACACTTGAAATTTAACCTTAGATTCATGTTTTAAATCAGAGATCACAAGTAAGAGTATCTTGTTCTAGCTTTAAAAATTTAAGTCTTACGAAAATTCTAAAAAAAATTTAAGGCAAAGTGCCAAAGGCGTCATCATTCACGTGTTATCCTATAGAAATTTCCTCTTTATCATATCGTTTTCGGAATATTCCCCTATGTAATTTGGTGCAGCTTTCGAGATTAAGATGCCCACATCTATTCTTCCATTAAAATAAAACCCAATTTAATTACATTTTTTTTGTATTATTTATTTATTTCATCATATAATTCTTGCCTTTATCGCATTTAATTTTGAGCTAAATTCCACGCCCATTTTGTGGCGTGCATTTGGTTGTCTTTTTGGTTTTTTGTTTTGGTTTTTTGTTTTTCTTTTCGTTTTGTTGCCTCTTTAGGGGGCGTGTGGTTTGATTCTGGTTTTGACCATTTTGTGTGGCCTTTGCTTAACATCCATTAAATTATCCATAATTATATGCATATTTAATATATAATTTCATCGCGCTTCATCATTGCCTTCGGGGTTGTGTTTTGTTTTTGTGTGTGTTTTCCTGTATTTAAGTTTGATTTTACATTTTATTCTTAGTGTTTTTGTTTTGTTAGTTTAGTTTTAAATTTAGTTTTTGGGGGTTTTGGGCTTGCCAGTTTTTCATTCAGTTTTCGTTATTTGATTTTTCAGTTATTTGACCGCTTTGCAACATGCGATCAAATAATTTTCGTTTTATTTTAGAAGATTTTATTCGTTTTTTTTTTTTCGTTTTTGATTTACAATATATTTTTGGTTTTTGTCGACATTTGTTTTTCAAACATTATCTAAATGTTTTCTTTTTTGTTTTTGTTGTGAAATCAATGCAGAGTCCTTTAGCATCTGAATCTCCAAAAATAGTTGGTTTTTACTTTTACTTTCAGTAGAATATACTCTCAACATTATTCCATCCTAACACATACGACTCATACGCACTAAATTCTTTCGATTCGACATTAAATATTAGATAAATATATATTGTATTTATATATAATATATATTTTGCATTTAGTATGTAAATTTAGTCTAAAACAAAGTTTCGTCTTCCGTCAAATTAACAATTAAATAAAAATCAAACAGAAACCGCAAATTAAAGCCACAATTGAAATACAAATATAAACCCAATTAAACTGCATTCTGCCCCGATATTCACTTTTGATTTTATTTTTTATTGATTTTTCTTATGCAACTAATTAGTTTGTATTTTTATTTTTTTTTTTATCATAGCTTTAATTAATGTTTGCCTCCGCACGGGGGTCCTGCTGCTGCCTTTGTGCATGGTTTTCGTTTTTTTTCTTTATTCGTTCATTGATTCATTTTTATTAATTTATTATTTTGTGTGTGTGTTTTTTTTTTACAAATATTATTTACACGGCTTATGTGTCTAGGTTCGGCTGCGGCTTTCTTGTGTGGAGGGTAGGGTGTACTTATAGTTTTTAAATATTCCGATCTCTGACTTATGCTTATTAATTGTTGTGTTTTTTTTGTTGCCACTTTTTTAATATGCAATTAGTTTTGCGTGTGTTAATTTTAATTAAATTAAATTTATGGATTACTTTTCACTATTTTAATGCTCTTCCATCGATCCACAACAATCTGCTACGCCTTGTTACGTATTCAATCTATTATATATCTTTTTTTTTTTTTTTTAAACATTAATTATTTTAACATCTCGCCTTTACGCTCGCCTGATCTTCTGTGAAAGTGTAGCCTTTCACTGCAGCTTTCACTTATGACTGAATATTATAGTTCGTTATTATCGGAATGTTGCATGAAGAATGGCCGCAAATGAATAAATGCATTGAAAATATACCTCAATTTGAACTGTGAACCTGCGATGTGCGACGCGACCCCTGTTTCGTGGCAAATAAAAAACAATATAAAATACAAGGACATTTTACTAGGCGCTGACAACGATTTTTCTCCTCGTTTTTCCCCCCTCGCAGGTTTTTTTTTTTTTATTTTCCATATTTTTTGTTGTTGTTTTATTTCTGGTTTGTGTTGCAATTAAGCACGTTGCATCCACATACTCATTCATATTTTTGTATAGTTTCTTGTTTTTGTTATTTTTTAATTACACTTTATGTGCCGCCGCCTCCTTCTGCTCCTCCTCCTGCTCCCCTTCCTTCGCCACTCTTCTGTGTGTTTGCTTTCCAATAATAATTGTTTATGTTGCCCCATATACCGGTCACAGCTGTGCCACCGCCAGCGTGGCCAATGCGAGGGTGACAGAGCCCAAAGCGCTGCAGCAGATGCACTGTGAGGCGCCGGTGAGCGCCGAGTTATCCGGATCGCCATTGGCATACCGCTTGGAGCCCTCGAGACCGAGTAGATTGGGCGAAATGGTGGTTGGCGGCGCATTGCTCAGCCCGATACGCTGCTGAACGCTCTTGTGGAACACATGTAGTATGGAGACCTCGCAGAGCAGCATAATGTTGGGCTGGTATTTGGGCATCGCTTGGAAGAAGCCCTGCAGCACCTGGCTGTGCGGATAGATCTCCAGCGAGGAGTACGTGGTCGAGCCCTCAAACGCGTCCTGTGTGATGCGCTGCAGGGGTGTTTTATAAATCTGAAACCGAAAGAAGCAAAAAGGAGGAAAAGGAGGCAAATGGAAGAATCAGTATATGCAGTATTTTTCACTCTTTCTCGCTCTCATCCAGCAATCATTAGCCTTCACTCACCTTTCGTCCGTTGATGTACCATGTTATGTTCGCCGGCGGATAGGAGGGACCCACAGTGCACACAGCCTTGAAGTTGTCATTGGCGCCAATCACCTTCTTGTCCACCTGCATCACCGGATCATCTTTGGGCAGCTCAATCACCTGCATGTGCGCCGACCGTATCTCGGTGTGGAAGAGCGGCGCATCCTCGGAGACCTCGCACTGATAGCTGCCGCTCAGCTCTCGGGTGACACCTTTCAACGTGACGGACGTGGCATCAGAATTGGTGAGCTGCAACAAGCAATAAAGGAAGTCGAATACACACAGTCAGTACTTGCCATCAAAAAAGGTGTTCAAATTGGAATTAAAGCCAGATATACGGCTGGTTTTCAGCATAATCTTCTATCCCCTTCAGTAAAGCCAGGAAAAGCGCAGGCGATGCATTTGTTGTTAATCAACGAGGCAGAAGCAAGTGCCACAGGGGCCCTTTGGTTGGGCCTTTTGTTCACCTTTGTGTGGGGGTATCCGTATCCCCGTTTCGGTGGATATGCCCCGGACATCCGTTCCATTCCATCCCCATGATCGTTGTCACAGTTTAGCATATTCTGTTAATTGCCAGCCATCGTTTGCCACTTGGCAAACAGTTGTGCAATATCCTACTCAAAATCCACTTCAGCAGCGAACACTCGCGATTATCGTGTGTATGTGGCATTGTGTGTGTGTGTATTTTGGGGGGGTGAGTGGGATAGGTCCCTTTATCGCAGGCCTCGCCTTTTGTATTTAAGTTCAGACAAACAGCAAAACCCATTCGAGTTTTGCATATGCCACCAAAGCCAAAGCCAGCGCGAACGTTGCCCAGCCCTGCCCCATCGCTTTGTTTCATTTGCATCTGTACTAATCCGAGCATGGCTGTGTTGTGCCATTGCCATTGCTGTTTGTTTGCTGGTTGCGGATGCCATGCCACTGGATGCCACTACTCGTATTGGCAGTTGCACATGGAATCCCAGGAATCCTAGCCACTGGCCCTGCCCGGCCCGGCCCCGAGGCGAACAACAGCTTTTTACGATTGTTTCAACACTTTCGAGCATTGCTCGTAGCCCGTAGCCCGGCTTTTCTATTTAGTTGGTTGTTGTTTTCTTTTTGCTGTTTTCTAGTTTTCTGCCAGTTCATTCGCAGATAACGCGAATGTCGATAAGGGCCGCCAGGCACAAACACACACACACACCCAGGACATAGGGATCTCTCTGGCTGCTGGCTGGAGTCCTGGATGCTGCTGCTGCTGCTGCATGCAACCTCGCGGTTGCCATTTTGGCATATTGGCTCCATGAATGTGGCTCCTGGATCTCCTGTGGGCCCCCCGGGCTAGCGCTGTGGTTTCAGTGGCTTTTGGATTTGTCGACGTTGATCTCGTTACGCAATCGTAAAATGAAAACAAATGCGAACCGTATTGATAAGGTTCTCTATATGCAACAGAGAGTGCTGTGAGTGTGCGTTGTGTGTGTGTGTGTGGCATGAATAATGTGCACTGGGGCAGAGCATGCCCATATGTATTATAATTTCGTATTACTTGTGTGCACTCAGAGAAAAATAGTATAATAAAAAAAAAAACACAACTGCACACGAAATACAAACATAGCGAAATTAAATTTGATTTAAACATTAGGGTAATAAAAAAATAATAATAATTTAAATAATGATATATTAAAATAATTATTAAATATATAGTTTGTAGGAAATATGTTTTATTATAATATGAAATATATTTAGTTAAAAGTGTGGCATACAATTTTATATCTAAGTGTAAATATTAAAATGAAATGCCATTTATTTCTCTGGGTGTAAGTACGTTTAAGAGAGAGAGAGTTCCGAGGCCATCTCTGATGTGATATTGAAATAGTTTTTCCACTCCAACAAGAGTTAAGCCCAAGCAGCGCCTAATTCTCGTAATTCTCTGAACTTTAGCCACATAATAAATGTTGTCCATGCTACCATCTGGCACTTGCCGTTTGCCCCTTGATATGATTTCAATCCCCATCTAATTAAATGACACTAATTATGTAATCAAACATATACACATACACAGCAAAAGTTGTTCCTGTCGTCCTTTATTTATTCACTAGTTTTTATGCCACAGGCCACGTTGCTGCCTCATACGGTTGCAGGCTTCTGTGGGGTTATGTATGTGTGTGTGTGTGGCTTTCTGTCATATTTATTTAATTGCATGTGACTTTATTTGTTGGTGGCCCTCCACTGCCGCTGCTGCTGCTACTCTCCCTGTGTGTGGGGGCTGACGGCGGAAGCGGAAGTGGCAGCGCCAGGAAGCGCGCCAAACAAAACGCAAATGTCTGCCATTTTGAGGAATTATATGCCCAGTCGTGCACCCTCATAGCCTTGCTTCCTTTTTTGAGTTTGCTGGCCGGCTCTCTCCTCCACATGGGAAACTGTAGCCATTTTGTACTCGTATGAGATTCAAGCCATTCAGCCAGTGAGGCATCCAACAGCCACCAGCCACAATCCACCAGAAGCAATAGCAGTGGCAGTGGCAGTAGCAGAGCTCAACTTAACTTTGCTTTTGTCGTGGAAAAAGTTTTTCCTGAGTTTTTTCCGTTCCTGTTTTCGTATATATATATTTTTTTTGTTTTGTATTTTTATTTGTTGGCTTTTAATTTCTATTTATATTTTATATTGCTTTAGCCGCCGCCGCAGCTGTAACTTTGTGGCATGTACAAAAAAAAAATGATGCCACTAAAGCGTAATTTTGCATGCCACAAACACACACAAACACACACACACGAAGTGGCAGGCAGTGGACACGTGGAGTGGTTCCATGGAGTTCCATGTGTGAGAGTAAAGTATTGTTTCAATAATTCTGGCTTTATGAAATAATAACTTTGCTGCAAAAAGCGCTCCGAGATACGGTGGGGGGAAGAGAGGGAGAGCTCGGGCTGAGTCGAGTCGTCGAGTTGTAAGAATACAATGAATTTCATTGCAGTGGCCCCACCCCACCCCAGCCCAGCCAGTTTGGTGGTGCCTCCTCTATCCGCTATCCTGTGCCCCATGCCCCATGCCCCATGCCCGTGCCCCACTCTCTGCGTGTGCTGTGTCGCACTTTTGCTGTGGCTCCTCGCTGAGTTTCCGCTGTTTGTTGTGAAGCAATTTTAATTTTACCCAACGCTCTGTCGCATGCGGCACGAGTATGGGTGTGTGTGTGTGTGTGTGTGCGCCTCAGCTGCAGCCTCGTTTGCATGCAACACTTTATGAATTATTGCTGTATCAACTCAAGTCGCGGTGGCCACACACACACACACACTGCCACATACTCCAATTCTATCCACACTCTATGCTTGCCGCATGCCGCACATGCAGCGCACACAGACAGACACAGACACAGAAACTCTCTCACATGTGCACGTATTATGTCATGCCGAATTTCCGCTGCCTCCGAGCATTGTTGTAACTAACGGCGTTGGCGTTGCCTCCGCTCCACTACCGCTCACCGCTCTTCGCAACCAATTCCCCATGCCACATGCCCCATCCCATACCATTCCATCCTCTAGTTGCCGCTGGCATTTCACAACTTCGACTGCCTAACGCTTGTGCAAAAACCGACCACAAATTTAGTGAATGAGATGTTTCCGGTGCGGTTGTTATTCTCCTTCCACCACTGGCACAGCACAGCTCGCACGGACTAGTGGGGCACCGGCACCACCATTGTTGCACCATCCAGCCAGTAGAGTGGAGAGTAGAGGAGCTGCTGCTGCTGCTGCTGCGACTGGTAGTTGTTGCCGTGGCAGTACAATTTTTGGGTGTTTGGAAAATGCATGGCTTTTTATTGTGCTCATTGTTGGCGGAGGCAGCAGCAGCCAGCAGACAATAAACAACAACAACACCAGAGTCACCGCCAGAGCCAATGGTGGATTCTCCTCGGACATAGGACAGAGGACATAGCTAGTTACACTCTGCGATTCCGATTGCAACTGTCGCTACTGTCCCCCCATCCTCACGCCACCTCGCACCTCCTCGCATGCCTCCTGCACTTCACGGAATGCATTTCGCCTTTTATTTATTATGTTTATTTGTTGCCATTTGTCATACACACAACACAACAATTTTTAGCCAAGGCCGCCTCTCGACGGCGTAAACAACAGCCAGTAAAATAGAAAATGGAAAATCGCATGCAGTGGAGAACGGAGCAAAGCGGAGGGAAAGCCTGCATGTGACTGGCTTGAGTGGATAATGGTAATTGAAGTGCGGGCTAGCACTCTCTCTCTCATTTTTTTGTTGACTATACATAGAGGGTTATAGCTAGAGGATATGCATACATATGTGTGTGTAGATGTTTATATTTTGGATGAAGTGCACTCCTCCCCCTAGACCAGACGAGCAACAAATTCCTCCTTTGCTTATGGTTGTGATAATTACCACAGTATCTGCTTCCTTAGTATGAGGATTCCATAGGCTGATAGAATATCTGACTATATTGCACATCGGTGATGCAGTCTTCCACTGTACCCATCGCGCACTCAATTAAAGTTTTTCCAACTGCAGGAAAAGCCTAAAAAAGGAACTCCCACTCCTGCATTGTGAATCCTAATTAACAACAGTCCAGCTCAACTGTGCCTGGAGAAGTCCTGCAGGCAGAGAAAGAAGTCCCGCAAATACAGGATCTACATTGGCGCAACTTTTTGGTCACTTCTGTCGCCTGGCCCTCGTCTGCCTTTGGGTTCGGTTTCAGTTTCTGTTTCTGCTTTTACTTTTGCTGATGCTGGTACTTTCAGGACGAAAGTGCATTAATTTTAAGCGGCACATTGCTGTGCATAAATGTGAGGCGGCGTGTCGGGTTATTAACAATGTTAAAAGCAAACGCCAGGACATTCCGGCAGAGGAGCCTGGCAGCAGGCAGAGGCAGGGAACGGGCGCTGGCACTGGCTGCCATTACCACAAACTTAATGCGGAATAATTCCTTCCGTGTTGACAGTGTGCAAAAAGTTTTTTGGGGGTCCACAAACTCACAGAGAAGTGGATAAAAGGGCCCGAAAGCCAGTGGCAGGAGGAGGCAGCAGCAGCAGCAGCAGCAGAGGCATGAGCAGGCGACACACAGCGAAGAGGCCCGGCCTCGCTTTCGACTGCTCTGGTGGGCTTGCTGGCTGGCGATTTTTATTGTTGTGGCGGACAATGAATAAGCCGCAGAACTTAGAGGCACTTGGCATATCCTATTCCTGCTCTTGCTCCGGCTCCTGCTCCTGCTCCAGCTCCTGCCCCGCTCCTGCTGTGACCCCTCTGGCTGTCCCGTTCTGTCGCTCAGCGGGTGGTTCTCTGGTAATTGTGTTTTTAATTGAAGATTCGCCACCGAAGCGAGCGGCTGTCTCTGAATTAAAAATTTAATTACATTTAAAATGATGATTTTCCTGTTCATTTTACCCTTTTTTTTTTTGCATATACGTATACTCGTACATACATATGCATATGCATACATACATATGTATATTTTTCTGCACTTGTCGCTCGGGTGACATGTGCACGAGGTGGAGTGGTGTTGCAAGGTGGCGGTGGTGCTGCTGCTGCAGTGCTGTGCTGTGATGGGGCGGGACGGGGCGTGGCGTGTTGCTTTTCCCTACGCTGAATGACTTTTGAAGTTTGTCGACGACGCGACTTCCTATCTGCCTCCGCCTGCTCCGTCTCGTGATATCCGCCTTAATATGCATACATTTACATTCCAATAACGCTCAAGTGGACGACACGAGTGCACTTTGGTCTCGGCCACGCCCCCTCACCCCAGCGGATGCGATTCCCCACAAGTGGTGGGGCATGGTGGCATGGTGGCATGTCAGCGGCATCATCATCATCAGCAGCAGAACCAGAAGCAGAAGCAGATGCAGCTGCAGCAGCTGCCATTCAAGTGTTTGCCTCCTTTATGCACCACCTCTGACACTCATAGATATACACACACACACACATGAGAAAAGTATATGTGTGTGTGTGTATGTGCATATGCATAATGGGGCACGGGCCGGGAACTTTTCTCATTAAGGCCCCGTGTTTAGCTGTTTGAAATGATTTAGCAAAAGTAAAACAAGTCAAGTTATAATGTTTTAATCTCAATTACGACACTTGCCACAATTTCGACTCACCTCTGCCACCACAGCAGTCATCTATCCATCTGCATCTAGATCATGGCAGCAGCCGCTGCAGTAGTAGTGGCAGTGGCAGATGCTTGATGCCTTGGCATAACTTAAAAATTCCATTTTCCATTTGTGGCGAGGACCCCGGACCCCGGACTCCGAACTCGACCTCTGGCCTGTGGCCTTTGACGTTCGTTAGTGCTGCTATCAATTTAATTTGGGGGTGGGCCGCCTCATTTCGATTTGTTGCTGCTGCCTCTGGGGCTTGGCAGCACCGAGTGCTGGCTGTTAACTTTTATTTTTTGTTCAAAAGGTGCTGCTGCTATTGCTGCTGCCTGTGGCTAAAACTATGGGCTAACCTTCAAACTTAATTGCACTGCGAATGCTGGCTAAATCATTTGCATTATGCAATCGACGCTCCCGCTCCCGCTCCTCTCCTCTCTCTCTCTCTTTCTCTCTCTGTCTTTCTATGGCTTTCTCCATTGGGCCGTGACCACTTCTCCACTTCTCTGCCTCTCTGCCTCTCTAGCTTTTCTTACGCTTTTCACCTGTTTGCGGTTCATGGCTGATTGCATCCTCAAGGAGTTCTGTTCTCAAATTAAAATGTATTTCCACTTGGGGGCGTGCCACTCACATAAGTAGGCTCTCCTGCCACATTAACCCACCAATGCGCTCAATGAATAGTTTCCGATTCGCCAAATAAAATCAAAAAGAGTGGAAACCAAAGAGAACCAAAGAGTAAAAAAAAGAAGTAAGTAGAAATGGGCAAATGGGGGAAATGGGAAATAATTAACACGCATAGCCGCACGCCCACTGCCACGCCCCGTGGCCCCGAGGCCCCGTGGCCACGTCGTGTTGCTGCAATCGAAATATTTAATTAGTGCAAAAATGCCTTTGAATGCTAATTAGTGGCAAATTAACATTCGAGCAGCCGAGTTCTTCCTCCTTGTATTCTCTCGTATTTCTCTCCTATTTTATATTATTTGCTTTCGTATTTTATTTCACTTTTTTTCTCGCTAGTCTCTCATTCTGATTCTCTCTTTTTCTCTTTCCAATAGCCTGTGCTGCATGGGGCAGAGTGCAAATTAAAGACACAATCAAAGCAAATTAATCAAGTCCGGCAGTGGCGGCATGCCAATGCCCCACTCCACCTCCCACCACCCACCACCCCCTGCTGATTGATGTGGCCAGTGCCCCATTATCGATGGGAGCGAGCAGGCAATTGTGATAGCAGACGGAAGATGGGGAAATCGGAGGCATTCTGGTAGCTAGCAGCCCCCCTCCATTACATAAAACAAACATTACTCCATCATCCGCCCAGACCCTACCCTCCTTCGCTTTATGCCATTATTTATTATTATTTAACGTTCCCCTTTTCTATTTTTTTTTCCTTTTTTTCCGAATTTTTGTGAAAAATGTGGCCCGAAGTGTTTGTAAATGAGTTTGCAGTTTTATGTGCGGACGAATGAGTTTTCAATTTATATTTCCCGCACACAAACACACACACATTTTTCATGGCAAATTCAATTTTATTTATTTATGATTATACGACAATCGATTCGTTTTCCCATACAAACACACCCATTGAGAAGATGGTTTATACAATGCACTGTCAAGGGTTTTGCAGGGTACATGGTACATATGTATGCATATGCAATGGATCAGTGGCTGGGACGATTCCTAGACAAACGAGCTGTTGATTTTTGGAAGCATTTGGAATCAAGAATTTTGCTGAATAGCTAACTATTGCACATTTAATTGCATAATTTGCGGCTGTTGCTTATTTATGTTAATGAAAAGCATATTCTGTTTCCACAGAGACTAGCAATTCGTTGGACTTTTATTAAGGGCTTAAGTCCTTTCGAATCATAGGGTATCTCTCCCTACGGTCCTTTATTTGTTTATGTGCAGCAGCTATTAATGGGAACCGCTGTTTGGGATTCTGTGCAGCATATATATTCAATGCGAGCCCCTGTCTGGTTTCTGTGGGTTGTGTTTTTATGGGTTAAAACAGGAACCGGATGCTGATTTTTAAATGGTGTCCAAAATATTTTGGTGTCGCTGTTGGCGCTGCTGCTCGGGGCACCGAATTTATTGCATACTTTGCGGCTGTTGTTTTTATTAATGAGCGCTGCATGAAACAAACGGAACGGAATGGAATGGAATGCAAAATGCAAAATGCAAAATGCTGAGCATTTTCCGTGCACCAGGATGGGATATATCCTCACATCCTCTAGATCCTTGTTTTCTGGGTTTTTCGGTTATTTGTTCGCTTTTGTTTGCCTAGCAGCCCCAACGCTCGCCCCATAAACTATTTTTGCACTTTTCGCAATATTTCAGTCAGCGGCAGCGGCTGTATCTGTGTTTGGTTCTACTATGTGTTGTGTTGTGTTGTGTTCTGTTGTGTTGTGTCACTTTCCCAATGGTGCAAACACATACACATGTAAATGGAAAACACCAACGAATATTGTAAATAAAATTGCACAAATATGGCATTGCAATAGAAATGAAAAGTGTGACATACACACGCAGATAGAAGCAAAGCTGCCTCAGGCAGCCCTGCCCTGCCCCGCCCCACTATCCACGTTTATAAATATTTTCACAATATTTGAATATTTTTCCCCCCATTTTCCATTTGATAGCCTGAGAAAACTTTTGGAACACATGGCTGCAGCTCTGGTGATTTGTTGATTAAGCGGAGAGACAATGGAGAGGGGGACCCCCAACACATTATGTGCGGAGATCCCATGCTTAATTTAACTTACATCAACATTAATGCCGGCAACGGCGAAGACAAATGTGGGCTTGGCCTCGCGGGGTACATAGCGATAGAACTCCTCCTGGCCAAAGTACCAGCGCACGGCGTACAGCGCTGCCTGTAAAACGGAAGGAAAATGCGTTAATGAAAAGCCTGAGTGGATAGACATCGCAGCAGCAGCAGCAGCAGCAGCAGTGGAAGCAGCTAGCAACGACAGACAATGAGCAGTGCCACGGCAGCAGCAGAGACAGAGAGGACGGACAGAGCACAGGCGACAAGCAGCAAGACAAAGTGCAAGTAATTATAATAATTAAGCATGCCGCCGCTGACAATATCCTCATAGCATCTGCTTGTCCTGCTGCTTCTTCTGCTGCTTTTGCTGCTGCTGTTGTTCCTTCAGGATATGTCACTTACCTGCTCCAAATCATATTGACAAGACAATGTCGCTGCATTTCCCATGATGACGGCCTCCGGCACGAATATCTTCAGATCCTTTAGGCAATGAGCTTTTGGGGGTACAGAACAAAAACACAAACAAAGTCAGGATCCAGCAGAGAAAGGCATACGCGTACATACATAATATGTATATCTGTATGTATGTATATCTGTATGTATGTATGGAAGGATGGCAGGATGTTCGTGACAGGACTCCCAGTGAGAGCGGTTCTCGATTGCGAATTTCGTACACGGCATGTGGCAACAATTTGAATTCGATTATGCCCCCAGGCACAGAGACAATAAAACAGAACAGAAAAAACCAACAAATAAAAAAAAAAAAAGCTGAAAATAAAACTCAATTATGCACGGGAGTTGCCAAAGGACAAGGATCAGGCCTGCTGTTGCTGTTGCTGCTGCTGCTGCTGCTGGAGGGGGACGGGACGGCGGATGAGGATCTCGCCCACTGCGTGTTAATTTATGACAGTGGCCCTGGGCCCATGGCCGACGCTCCGAATTTGACTTGCATTTAATGCAATTTATTTCATTTCATTTTATTTCATTTCTGTTTCATCTCCGTTTCGATTCATTTACCCAGTCGCCAGTTTCTGCCCAGCTGCCACACGAATTATCCACATTAAATCCAATGACTTATCCGCCAACATTAAGTGGAAATTTAAATAAATTGCAGCAAAGTGAGATCCGGCGACCATTTCGGGAATAGTTTCTACATCCATATCCTTCGATGGCTGAAACATAATCAACGTAATTGAATACATTCGGATGCCCGGATCAGGATGCGGAAAAATACTGCACAGTTGTGTGTGTGTGTGTGTGGCGAGTGGCGTGTGGCGTGTGGCATGGCTATGGCATGAAAACTGATTTAAAATAAATGAAGTGTCCATCGACTGGACTTTTGCCATCGATTTGTGGGTGCCACTGGACGGACGGGACGGCACGGGACGGGACAGAGCTGACAGGGCGGCTTGTGGCTGGCCAAATTATGGCTACTTTAATTGAACAAACCAATATTAATCAAAAGCAAGCCATGGCACATTCTGAAAGGGAAATGGTATTACAAGGAGTATTGGCACTGGGGGTGTTTGGCAGTGCATATAATAAACAGCTATTTGGTAAATTAAATAATCAATTTTAACCGCAATGGTGGCACACTGCGTGTGTAGTTGGCATAAAATAAATTCAGCTGTGTTTAACATGACGCGCGACTCGTGAGGGATTGAGGCATGCAATATGAGATTGGGGCTTTCTTTTCGCACACTTACCACTGAGCATTAGCTCGGAGATGATAATCCAGCTGAATGCCAGCATATTGAATGTGGAATGCAAGACTCCTACTCCTCGACCTCGAGAAGCACTTCTTCCTCGATCTGCTGCTCCCTTGGCCTCCCGTTGGCTGGCCATTTTTCTGTGTGTATATTCTGCTGTTGTTGTTGTTGCTGCTCCTCCTTCTTGTGGCTGTTCCTTCTGCGGATACAGTCTCCCGTTTCTCCTGCTGTGTGGCTGCTGCCCCTTCTTGTCGGCTGCGCTGTAAAGAGTTTAGAGTGCATTGCATGAGTAAAAAGTTTCAAGCATCAGGCGTATAATCATATTTGAGATGATGCTCCTGCTCTCAGGCTCTCAGGCTTATTGATAACTGGCTCTACTCGGCTACTTGTCAAAGTTTCAGTAGCTGCAAATTGAAATGTTGCCCTTACTTTCAGTCTATTTATCCATCCTCTATGTCTATGTTTATGTCTTTGTCCATGTCCATGTCTATGTCTATGTCTCTCTTTGTCTTTTGTCTCGTATTTCTCGTGTCACTCGTGTCTGCTTTGACAACTTTTGTGTGTGTATGTGTGTGTGCAAGGCTTTCAATGACACGCGTCGTTCGTATGCTGCAAGAGTTCGACGTGCTTAAAAACTTTGCTGCAATAAGACACAAAAACCTTTAACTAAACAGCAGCACACGACACAAACGATGTGTGTGTGTGTGGCATGTGTGTGTGTCTGTGGCAAATAGCATTAAGAATACGCAGCGTATGCCCCAGGCAGATGCATCAGCAGCCACCCACTGATTGACAGCTTTGGGGGCAGCAATACTGAAGCAATACTGTGTCACTGACAACTGAAATAGATTGGATGTGTGAGAGAGTCAGACAGATGGACAGACAGGAAGGAAGAGAGAGAGAGAGAGAAGAGAGAGCAAGAATAGAGAGAAAGAGAGATATAGATGCTGACCACAACATTGAAAACAATTGTCAGATGCTGCTGCTGGTCGTTGCATTTGTAACTTTTGCCTGGGACATCTTGTCCTGTTCTGCTGTTCTGCTGTCGTCCTTTCGTCCTTGCGTCCTGCTGTTCTTGTGTATCAATTAGACCACAAAATCAGCAACTGTTTCTGGCAATTGTTTAGCTTCCATTTCTCTGGCCGCAAAAACAGAAGCTAATGGTCACAAAAGCTACACAAGGATGCAGGGCAAATTTTGTTAATGATATCATCATATCAACGCATTAACTCAAGGCGCCCCAAAGCCATTAAGCCTTGCAACCAAATAAATGTTCGTTTGCTTCTAATTTTAAATGGGATTTTCCCCCCCTAAACATAAAGAGACGGAGCCACAGACAGCCACAGCCAAGAGACAGTACATAGTATAGATCCAAAGCCAAAGCCGAAACTCCCCAGCAATGGAGCAATAAAATGACATTAGCCACTGGTCCTGTGTGCGATCCCTCTGTGGGTCCTTGAGCATAAGACTCAAAATTATTGTTGCCGCAAAAACAACAAACGCATTAACCGAAGGACCCTCAAAACTAAAAGCAGCCACAACGAATGCAGGGCCACCAGCCCATCGACCTTTTCCCATATCGTTTTCGCAAATTGTCCAGCAGATTGAGATACATCCAGACACAGCATCATCATCATCATCCTTCTCATCGATTTGCTCATCGCTTGGGGCTGAGGCTGAAACTGGAGCTGGGGCTGGGGCAGGACTCCGTCTGTGTCTCTCTCTCTTAAATGCCCTCATGTGAGCATTTAAATTAAATTTAAATATTATTCTTAGTCAAGTCGATTATGTTCGGGTCATCATTTTGAACTTTAATGTGTTTTTCGGTGTGTTATTGTTTGAATGGAGAGGGCACCCGAACAGCCCAACAGCCCAACAGCAGAACATTAGAACAGAAACATTCTCTGAGTAATAGCCTTTTGTGTGTGTCTGTGTGCAAATTATTTTGCGGTTTCCTCGACGGCGGGGTGGGGGGGGCTGGACATACTGCCTGCCGCAAACTAATATCCACTCATCCTCATCTTTTGTTTCTGCCTTTCTGCCATTGAAAATTTCAACAATTTTCGGTGATGCTTTCCGCACAGTTTTTGGATAACAACAAATTTCCAAAATATTTCATTATGATTTTAATTGAAAATTCTCTGAGCAAAACGCAGAATGACTGGAATGGGTTGGGTAGCGGGGGGTAGGGGCATGAATCTCTCGCATGAAGAGAATATTTGATTTACATTCACATCCTTTGTAATGAGACTGTCCTGCGGCGTGGTGGCATTAATCAATTCAGTTTTCAATAGATACCCCAAAATAATAAAGACCATAATTAAAGTCATATATTTTGGGTGCCAGCATTTCCTCTGCGGAAAATGTTGTAATTAAAAAAGTTACAGCGTGAAAAATAAGCAGAGCAGGGGGCAGGAGATGGAGATGTGTGTGTGTGTGTGTGGGGGCATTCAACTTTTTTCAAGTGCCATAAAACAGTTGATTATGGGGCCATCATTAACGCAAATCTAAGCTTTCATTAAATTAATTTTTTATGTACAAAGTTTACAGTTTTTCCAATAAGCAAAGCGAAAGCAGGGGAAACGCTCATCATAAGCTCTCACCATAATGGAGCTACACTCCGCTTTAAGGAGGATTGGGATGCGGATTGCTGGCGGAGCCAAATGCTCGTGACGATGGTAATGACAGAGACAGAGACAGAGAGACAGTGACAGAGACAGTGACAGTGACAGCGACAGCGACAAAGGACGACGACCCACTGCCCGGATATTCAAATGCCAAAGCAGAGCGAGCGAAAATTCAATTGCAAGTCAAATCGAAAACAAAACAAAACGAAAATCCGTAATTGACAACATTTCAAGTGATAATGAGCACTTGCCACAGATACAGATACAGACACACACACACAAACACACACATACAAAGAGAGGGATACAGATACAAAGTGCTGGTGGCAGGGAGAAGTGTCAGCAGTGCTGACTGTGTGGAAAACTGGTGGCCAAAGCGAATTGATGATATGATTTTCCGGATAGTGACAAGACACAGCAAAGGAATGGCATTAAGGGTGTTTCCTGTGCGAAAGAGGACACTGGCTAAAGCGGAAGAAGCCATGACATGCAACAATGCTGAGGCAGCAAGCATCAGGTAAGATCCAGCTATCGATTTCACTTGTATCCTCCCTCCCAGCGACACTTGAGCCACTCGGCCACGTAGTCAATTTCAAAGATAACAGTCGAAAGAAATTGGCATCAGGCATTGGCCTGCTCTGGCCTGGCCTGTGCTGTCCTGTCCTGCTCTGGCCTAGCCCTAGAGGTGCGCTTAGGCTGGGCTTTAAGGCGCTGCTGGGATTTGCTGCTTAAAGGATTCACTCGACTGTGGCGGCCTGTTGTGGCAGGCAAATCATTCATTTCACTGTGGATCCACTTTGCTAATCGCCGGCTGTCAGTGGGGGCGGGGTGAGGGAAACCCAAGCACACCTAAACAATAATCGCAAATCAAGAGAAATCGTTGCTATAACGCATTAAATGCGCCCTTGATTGATGCGACACTTGCTCGAGGGGTTGCTCATTAGGTTTAGTGCCAGGGACCCCCAAATGCCACATGCGTGATACTGAGAGTCTGAGGGCTCAATCCTCTAATCAATCAATCAGTGTTTATGCCATACCACACCACACCACACCACACTCCACTCTCTCTCCCTCTGTCCCTTTGTTCAAAGCGCAAACGAAACGAAAGGAATATAAAAGAAAAGAAAAGAACAGAAAAGCAATAAAAAGAAAAGCAAAAGCAAGGAAAGTACATAATGAACAAAAGGGCTAAAGCGGGAGGGAAAGAGAAGGAAAGTTGGCGAAACAATTGCTTCAGTTGCTGCGTCGTTTGACGAATGCCCTCCAGGCGGAATCTGAATCGGAATCTGCCACTGAATCTGGAATCCAAATACGGCATACTATAATCGGTTCCGTGCCACTGGTTACTTCCGCAAAGAGAGAGAGAAAAAGAAAGAGAGAGTGGGAGAGAGAGAGAGAGTGAGTGAGGGAAAGAAAGCACCGAAAATCTTCTCCTTCTATGTTTGTGCTTTGTGCGGCGTTGGCGTTTTTACAACTTCCGCTTTTTCCCCGTTTTGGCAGAGTTCATCACAGGTTCTGCCGCCTGATTGCCAATGAAGGATTAATGCCGCTCCTGCTCTTGCTGCTGCTCCTGCTGCTGGTTTTGAAACAGTAACAGCAGCAGCTACGCTTTGATTGCAGCAAGCGGCGGCAGCAGCAGCAGCAGCAGCGTGATGCTGCAGGCGACACAAACTCGAGGATCAAACCCCCAACCAAACGCAAAGATAGAGAACGACCGACCCCCAGCGGAAGGAAGCCTTGTGTAATGGCACAAAGGATTGCAAATTGCCAAGGCACTTCCTGGCAAAGGACATTGATTTCTTTTTTATAGTAAAGTCCCTGCCCCATCCATTCGATCCCCTTGGCTGGCAACCACTTACACTCAAGCGAGCGTGTGCGGCCATGCCTGAGTGAGGGCCACCGCCACCGCCACTGGCACTGCCACAGCGAGTGAGATGTCACGACGTGTCCCTTAATTATGCATGTCCCTCGCTAATGAATTTAGACGTAATTGTTTGCAGGACAACGACCACTGACAGCCGCCAAAGACGTGGTCAGAGTGCGCGCTTTGCAGGCGGTTTGCAGGTCAATATTCAATCAAATATTAAGACCGATTGCGGTCTGGCGCTCACTGACTTTGGGGCAACCTCAGAGGGCGTTGGAGGCTTAATTAAACGCTGCATATGGTGCCGCCTCTTGTGTGACATATCGGATTTCAATCCAACGCAGCAACATCCATTCAAATCAAAGGTTTGAAAAATTGTTGCTTGAAATGCGAAAAATTTGCTGGGAAAAGAAAAGTTTAGAGCTAAAAAAATACTGAGCCAAAATGAGTTGACAATTTCAAAGCCAAAGATAAATGCTGAAAGGCCAGAGAGAGAGAGAGAGGAGACAGAGACAGAGCTGGAGAAAGTGGGGGGTGAAATGAGAGGTAACCCAAAGCTATTCCAAGTTTGTTGTAGCTGCTGCTGCTGCTGGTGGTGCTGGTGGAGGAATGGCCAGAGTCCCACTGCCTGACAGCAGCCTCTCTCTGGTAACATGGAAAATGCATTTGAAACTCGAACTTTGAACCACGAAACCGATAAATCACACGAGTGAAAAACTGGCATTAGGATCTACGCTTCGGAACAAAAGAAACTTAAAGGATTCACGCT